TTTAATTTTAAATTATATAAATAGAAAAGATCATTGTTTTTCAATATAAAATGCATCAAAAATGTATAATACTAAAATTATCAAAAGGTTAAACCTTTAATTTAGTCGATTAACTATTATATAAACTTTTGATTTGGTTTTTAAACTAAAAAAAAATCTTTAATTTAATCCTTAAAATTTTTAAATTTAACTATAAGTTGATCCTTTTATATAAAATCAACTAACGCATTTTATTATTAACGTGATACTTGACTGTTAAGTAATAATTTTTTATTATTTAGTAATAGACACATTAGGTTTTTCTAACAGAATGAACAACTTGTAACCAAATCTAAAAATTTTAAGAATCAAACTAAGAATTTTTTTAGTTTAGAAACCAAATCAAAGATACGTATAACAGTTGAAGGACCCAATTAAGAGTTTAACCTTATCAAAACACTATTAATGAATAGAAAATATGAATAAGAATTTTATTAAAAGCATTTTAATTAGAAATTGTGAAAAGTCAAGATATCCTTACAATTAAAATATAAATTTCAAGATTCCTTATAAAATTATTTAAATTCCCTTAATGAATCAACATATTATTTAAATAAAAAGAGATTTATTTATATACAAATTTTAAACGTCACACTTACATAAAAGTTTAATTATGCATCTTTTTACTTTTAATAATTAAGATTCATTATTATGTTTTAGATAAACAAGATAATTACCTTTTATAAATATGAATAAATATCAACTATTAAAATTAAAAAGATAAATAATTAAAATTTTTTGTAAATATAATATATGACTTATATATAGGTAAATTTTTATTATATTTAAATGATTTTATAAAAGATTCTAACATTTAAAATATCAAAATGTCTTAATTTTTATTTTTTAATAATTTTAATATCTAAATGACACTTTTTCTTATAGTTTGTACTAGAAAAACATTTGTAAAAACAAAAAGGCAATACTTTTTTAAAACATAGTGCTTTTTAAAAAATCAATTCAAATATGATAAAAAAAAACGTCCATCTAAGATGTGAAAAATAAAATATCATTAATAAATATCTGTACATTCATTCTAAGATTATTTTTGTGTTTATAATTTTAAACTGATATTTTTTATAAGATAAATTATAAAAAAGATTCTAAAACAAAAACGCGTTGTTTGGCCAACCTAAAAAAAAAAAAAAAAACCATGCAATTTGAGCGGCTACGAGTCTACTCTCCTCTCATTGCCATCGTAATTCATTTTAAGGGTGTTTTAGTAATTTCAATTTCCATACTGGAAAGCATTGTTATTTTGCAGTCCGGACTAAAATACAGAACTAAAACAAATTAGCAACCTGGGCTATTACTGAAACCTCAAGTCACGCGAAGAATCTAGAACAGAAGCTGTGTTTCTCTCTGAACATCCCAAACGACGGTGGAGAAATGGCGGCTTCCGCGGTGGCAGCGCCGACGAGGAACGAAGTCTTGTGGTTATACCGGTCTCTGCTACGCGTGGCGCGCCAGTTCTGCGATTACAACATCAGGGAGTACACCAAACGGCGAACCATCGACGCGTTTCGGCACAACCAGAAACTGACGGACTCATCCAAGGTCGCAGCCGCTTTCGCCGACGGGAAGGCCCAGCTTGAGGTGGCGAAACGGCAATGTATCGTGTACTCGCTCTACGCCCCTAAGGTCAAGAGCGTCATGGATGTCAAACGGAGTGCGTAAATTGGGCGGCGATTAACGATTTTTTTGGGTATTTAATTTCTTAGTTCTCGTTTAGTTTAAAACAAATTATTACGTGTTTCCAGAATTTAAATATTTTTATGTTTGAAATTGAGAATTTAAGCTACGTTGTTTAGGGCACAATTGGGCAACTGCTATCTATTTGTGATTTTTGTTTGATTGGATTGACTCAGTTGGCTCGTTTGTATTGGCCAAATTGGAGTTAATGGTGTTTCAGCCTCAATTGATTGAAAAAATAGTGAGGAATTAGAGCTGGTTTTGGAGTTTTGGAGATTGGGATGCATCCTCTTCATCGCTAAGAAAGAATTATTTTAATTTGTTGAATTATTTGCTGAGACTAGTCTGTTAATTTTTGCCATTTCTTGATCCTCCAAAGTTTTCTTTTGCTAATCTATTCGGTTCCATTGATAAATATTGAACACCTCCATGCCATTGTTTTATGTTAGTTGTCATGCTAAGTGTCCAAACATTTCTGCCCTTTTGAAGATTCAGCCCTAAAAGTCAATCTAAGAAAAAGAAAGAAAGCCAGCAAGAAGAGCTGGTGCTAATTTTATTCAGGACTTGGACACAAGTGATGGTAGTGATGGGACAAAATTTGGATTCTAAAGGGCTAAGAAAGAAAAGATTTGTCAGCAGGGTTAAAGATGGGAAGAAGGGGTTAGCGAACTAGTCCATAGGGGGTTTTAACTAATCTTAGTTTGGAAATCCTCGAAGAAGCAAATTGTCGGAGTTATCTATGATTGGTGATGAAGAGGACACTGTTCATAGTATTTGGTGATATCATTGCAGATAGGGGCTTGTTCTCAAGGTGAGAATAATCTTAGTGTCAGATTCTGGTTTTGTAGTATGTTTTTCTCCTTAGAATGTTTAGGGTTTGTGCTCATGTTTAATTTTGCCTTGCTTGGTTTCAATTGTTCTCCACGAACTCATTTACAGTTGATTTTAATTTTTAGTTAGTGTATAATTTCTGAGCTTGTTAGTTACTATTGCTCTTCTTTGGGGTTCCTCTTATGTTTTGCTTTTGAGATGAGCTTGAGGGGTGTAAGTGTTTGAGTTGGGATATCTTGAGTCCTTTGATTGTGGTTAGGTTTTCTGTCTGTGTTTTGAGCTGAATTTGTGGCTGTGGTTCATATTGTCCAAGTTTGAGTACCTCCAGTACTCATTATATGAATAAATTTTATTTTGCCAATCAAAAATAAATTGAAATTGCATTGCATCTAGGTTTGATTTTGCAGGCAACAAAGTCTGAAGGAAACATCCTTATTCTTCTATCTTAAAGTGTCTTAATGGTTGATATGGTTTTGGAGTACAATGTTGACTGAAACTGTTTAGTATCCTAAAGTATATGAACTGCAAGTCACAAAGCTTAAAGATGTCCATTGACGTTGGATACATTTCAGAATTCAAAGTTATTAGGCTTCCAAGAAACATGTTGAAGGGTTCTTGTTTATGTGGTAGATTTATGCATTATCCAACGTCGACGGTGGTTGATTAAGCTGATTTTGATTTAACAAGTGTAGATCATGTGTTGTTTGAGCAAATGTTGAAGTACTTTTCAATTCAATTCTGTATACCAATGGATAAATATACAACAGTGACCTTTGTCTCCGCCTATCCGTGCAGATGCAGGCATATTTATGTTGCATAACGGTGAAACATTAATGGTTAATACTTGTTCGATACCGAGTAATAATTTCCTTTCGGTTAATACTAGCTTCTTGCCCTTAAAATTGCAAGCATTTTATACAAGCAAGAAAGGTCCGTTTATTTAAGAATATGGAAAAAAGAACGAATTAAGGAATGGAAATGTTATTCAGCTGTAAGCTAACTCCATGGCTGTTCAAAAGAGAAGGAGAAAACATTGCAACATCGTCTCAATTCTGACTCATATACATGAAAAGAAAAGGGAGTCATAACGAGAACATAGAACAAGAAAACGAGGAATTGCTGGTATGGCAATCAGGGGAAGAGAAGCCGGTTTCAAATGGAAGCTTTAATTCTACTTTCCAAGTAAACGTCGAGCACGTTGATTGGCACCTTTCACGCGGAAGTTCAGCTCATCCACATCGTCTTGAAGATGATCCAAACCTTTGTTTTGCCTGCAATAAGCAAAAGGGGTAATTTTTATTGTAATAACATTCATATGACAAAATGCACAAAGGTCATGGCCACTAATGAGGAGTAGATGCATAAATTCACTGACATTGTCAGTCCATTAAACAATCTCAGTTCCTTCTAGTACAATGCCAAAAAGGGTGGATCGATTGATTTTATGCAAGGAAAATGAAGGAATCGGCTTGTGTAAGAAACAAACCTCTCAATTTCAGACCCCATGTCAACAGCCATATTCTTCAGCTCTCCCAGTAGACCACTCAGATCAGTGAGGGCATCGTCCTGCTTCGCTTTTTCAACCTGTTTGACAATGAAGCCAAATAACCAAATGAATTCCATATTCCACAGAATTTCATTGAGGGGTTCTTTCATGCAGTCATTCATCGAGTGATAGTTAAATGGATTTTAAAAATAAAAATCAGTAGCCCCAATAAATGTACAGCAACACACCTCAACTTTTTGAAATGCATCTGTGGGTTCAGGCAGTGGTGCCCGAGATTTTGACTGTCCTCTGGGTACAGGATTCAGTCCCAACTTCTCCCTCTGTTCCAAGTGGTTACCCCTTCTCTTAGGTGAATCATCTATAGACCAAGCAAATTACACTATTCATCAGAATAAGTAACGAAATAAATGGCAATTGTGAAGTTACCATCATTTTCCTTTGTTCTTATCAAGTTTCATATATATACGACTCTGACATTTGACATTAGAAAATGATAAACAGATTGACATCAATTCTTTTGAAGGAAAACTAACCTCTTGTTATAACTGGACCTGTGACTTCACGAGTCTTCTTTGGTTTCCAAGTCTTAGAGAAGATGCCCCCAAGGCTTCCCAAAAGCTTCTCACCCTGGAGAAACAAATCATCTGAGCATTTAATTCAAAAGATCAATCTGGAAGAAACAGAAAGTTTTTAATGTTTCCATGGTCATGAGAAGAACATCTTGACAATGAAGGAGTCATCCCTTCAAGTCAGACATGATTTTTAACTATAACAACTCTAATGGGATAGAGATACTCCATGAAAACATTTCCCCTATTTAAACTGTCTAGTGCGGCACAAGCTGGTAGTTCTAGAGCAGAATCAAGAATTTAAGTCTAGGTAGTGCCCAGGGAGACTGACAATCAGAGAAGTGGGCAGCTCCTCTTTCGAAGTTGTGGGGAAACATAGGTTAGAGGTAGTGGACATTTGCTAGCAAGAATTTCTAGAAGAAGGTTTGCTTCTGAAAAGAAAAGCCATACCCGACTTAGGTCATGATCAATGCCAGCAGCAGTTTCATGGGTCCTGGTAATTTGCTCACCCTGCTGATGTAAAGTGATCAAAGTTTTTGTGGCATCCTCTCTTATTTCTTCTGCAATCTTCAGGCAGTTATGGACAGAATTTGTTGTCTCCTCAGCCTTGTAAACAGCATAGTTCTCTAATTCTTGTACTTGTTGGTTCTCTATTCCTCCTGAGTCACGGAAATCATTCTTATACCTGTTCCGAGCAGCTGAAGTTAGCAAATACGAAGAAGATGAGTTCACTTTTACTTCAGCATCATCATTAAAAGGATTAGCTCCAAATTTTGCAGCATTCAGAGTGGGTTCAGATCTTGAGGGCTTAAGAGCTTGCTTGTTGTCCAACTCATCATCAGAATCAAAAGGGTTGGACCGAGAAGGAACATGTCCAGGGGCAACCAAATTGTGCTTGACACCTTTTAATGGAGACTTCTTCAAACCCAACATCCTTCACAGCTTGATTAAGCAGTTGATGACAGAATCAAAATTTTATTGAATCTGCAAAGAAATCAATGTTTTTATGATAAATTGTGATTGCATAAAAAATAGTGAAATCAGATACAAACAAGTCAGATTCAACATGCACGATATATTGGTTAATTATTCAGTCCTTTAAGGTGAAAAAAAGATGTGAAGGATTTGTTAGAAACCCTAAAACCAGAAATCTGACAGCTGCAACAACAAGATAACAACTTTAACCAATCACAAGCTACTAATTGGCAAACAACAAATTTGTTAGCAACAAATGATGGCCCTAAAATTTGTTAGCTCCAGATTATAACCCTGATGCAGAATCAACATGAAGACTTCAAATTGGCACCTAAAATTTCTAATATGAGAGGGAATAATATCGGGACTACAATGAAACAACATTAATCAATAAGAAGGAAATATCAAATATACTTTCTAGTCTTTACGTTTGTCTCTTACAAAAGGCCAAAAAAAGACGAAGAAAAGCTCAAAAGCAAGCGCAAAAAAATGAATCTTTCATAAATCGCGAGCAAGATCGAGCACAATCAGAAGCAATAGTACCATTTTGCAGGGGAATGTTTGCAGACATTAGCGACGACTGAAATTTTGAACCCTATATTTCTCATCAAGACTGATTTACTTAGTTGACTTGGGGTTTTGGTGATTCTTTGCAGAACCCAGAAAACGGGAAGGCAAAAGATTCACTAATAAATTTTCACAGCAACCAAACAGAGAAGCAACCAGGAAACCAAAAAGGAAAGAAAACAGAAATCCCATTAAAGACATCATCAACAAAGGGCACCCAAATGTACAAAAACAAACACATGAAAAGATCAAGGGCATAAACATTCAAACACCAGAAAACGTGAACATGGGTCTGCTAAAACAACACAAAATTAAGAATAAACAAAAAATCTGAAGCAATCTGCGTAAGAAAGAAACTAAGAAACAGAATCAAAAGCAAGCAAGAAGAAAGTAGAGAAAAAATCTGGGTATACCTGAAAAATACCAAGAAAATCGGGCAAACAACACAAACGCAGGAATCAAATCGAAACAGTATTCAGAAAATATTGTTGAAAATGGGTTCTAGAGATTGAGAAGGAAGCGAGTAGGAGGAAAACTTATAGACGGGGGGAAAGAGAAGCATGGAACGCGTCGCAACACAAACAAAGTCTTGGAGTACAAACGGGTGCGAAAGCGGCTCTTGAAAAACAAATTAATCAATTCAAACGAACGGTACTTTTTTTTCTTTTTTTTTTATGAACAAAAATGCACTATTTTCCTAAATTTTGAATTTGACAACTTGTTTTTTTCTTTCCCTTTACTTTAATTTATTTTCATTAATTGTTTATCTCCTATCGTCTGGGTAGCGTGGATTTTCATGTCACCTGCGAGAAACGGTTTATAAAAATTAATTAAATATCTTAATGAATTTTAAAAAATTATTAAAAATATTTAAATAATTTTACAAATAAAAATTACCCTTTTCTTACAAGTCTATTTAAAAAATACTTTTTTTTTCATGATTTTTTTATTGAAAGTGGTTAGGACTATAGGATAAATTGTTAGCATGACACCAATTTTTATGCTTTTAAATAATAAGTTATGGTATATAAAAGTTTAAACAATCAATTATAACATTTTGTTGAGATTTAGTTGTTTAATTTTATCAGTTCACAATTATTAAGAAACTTATTTAATATCATAATTAATATTTATCTTTTTATTTTTATCTTTATTTATAATTAAATAAAAAAAATCTTAACGCATTTTTATTACCTTAGAGATATGGACAAAACTAAAATATAAACATTTAATTTTTATTAAAATGGGAAATGTTACAACTAAATCAAATTATCCTTGTTTTGAAGATGGGACAATTAAATCTTACTAAATAGAATAATAAATATCAATTATTTTGTTACTCTTTTT